CTCTATCCAAGTTGATAGATGTTTCAGGCTCAGACTCGGGCTCAGGCGTGTAAAACAACGATTTGTGTTGAACAACTCACTCTTGACTATTACAACCCCATTTCTGTTATGTAAAACAAAACGCCAGTCAGTGTTGACCACATTGCATGCACACACGCAAGCACAGGTCGAAGGGAAGGAGCTAGACGATCAACAGCCGCGGCAGGTCAGGCGGTGACAGTAATGTAGCCAAGGGGGGGGGGGGCAAAGGGGCATATTCAGCTCCCTATGGGTCACGACGTTTATACTAAATACTGGGAAACTTGGCAGCAGCTCGGTCCAAATTCGCAGGTTTCGGATATGAGCTTTGGCTCTCCCATGGCGATAATTTTGGACGCGTGTCTCAGCGATACTTAGTTATACAATCGCGGCGGGAGGGTATCTTAGCACTGACGACCCACCCCTGTCGGAACCTAGGCACGCACAGATTACAGTACTGTCTTGTGTGTCGGACTGTCCTGTGTGTCGGATTGTCTTGTGTGTGACTGTCGGATTGTCGGACGGTACTGTCCACGGACCTCAGATACGCGTTGGAGCCCGCAGGCCATGTTCCCGGCTCGCAGGAGCGTCAGACCCCGCGTGTCAGGTACAAAGTGTCGCACCGAGCCGGGTCCCCGGCGCTGATCCAGCCCTGCTTCCAAAGCAGAACCCACACATTGTGGGATTTTGGGGGGCCGAAAATGACCGTGTTAAATGAAACTGATCTGAGTGCATTAAAGGTTATTATGTGCGCCATTGTCATGTTCTGAGATGCAGCACCGGATTCGCGAAAGATCCAGGGCCTTAATCAGGTTGGAGATGACGGGGGTGGCAGACAGTCCCTTAGATGCGGTGGATCATGTGGAGTTTCGAAGCAGCGTGTAGAAGCTGCAGGTAAGTGTAAGTCTCAGCTGAGGGAGCGATTTATGGTGGGGTCCCGGATTGTTTAAATTCAAAACGGGAAGAAGACCGTTATCGAGGAGTTTTTCTGTGAAAGGGGGAGGGACGAGGGACGAGAGTTGCGCAGATGTGTTTACTTCCAAGCAGCATCAGTCGTGTTTGCCCTGCTTTTACTCTCAAACCGTTCGTTGGTAACCAAATGTGAGGTGAGGCCGAGACTTGTTCCATCTAAAGTACGATGTTTTTCAATGCAGATACATTGTAAGTGACCAAATTTTGAGAGTAATCTGCATGCTGCAGGACCAAGGGTGCTGTTTCCATGGGTACTGTGACACCAACCGCAAAGCGTGTAATCTGTTGCGTTTTTCAGTCGTTCATTAAGTCACATGGCTTAGCCGCACCGCGGCCGTACGCGTTGCTCCTATGTCCATTTCACCATGAAAGAAATAGATGAGTGCTTCAGTTCACACCCGAGCTCGAACACCCAGTAGGCGGACAAGTGCCTTGTTAAAATAAGAGTGTCGCACTCAGTTTTTCATATGTCACAGCCCAGGCATGAAATCATTGGAAACGTGCATGTCTAATTAGATGGCTTGCTTCTTTTTCCCGCTACTTTAGTTCTAGATACACATGGATGTGCCAATCACCAGCACCACCTTTACATATAACTACCCCTGAAACGTGGCTGTGCATGGCGCACTGAAAAGTGCAATGAAAACGACGAACATAACCGATGTTTTGGTATTTTAGCAACAAGACCGCTACATCTGTTTTTTTTTTGCATCACTTTGATAATGTGTTTGTGCATACGTAATTGCGATCAAAGGTGTTGTCAAATGTCAAAGATCTGAGGCACAGCGAACACAAATCAATGTCTTTTTGCACCTAATTTTTTGCATACCTATTGGAATTTCATGCCTTATTTCAACAGTCCAGCCCTTAAGTTCTCATTTACTGCTACCACTAGCGACATAAACATTGTAGACAACGGAAACTTTTTGTTTGGTGTTAATAAGGTTACGCGGACACTAATGCAGGTATCTCCAAAATACCGAAACAGGGAGCTTAGATGCTCTCAAGTTCGAGTGAAGGTTTCTAAAAACGAAAGTAATGGAAAGGTGTTCGTTACCCTGTACATGGAGTTCCATGACGCATGCAGTGGGCACTCACTACAACATTTTTATTGGATAGAGTGATGCCTTATTCCTCGTCGGCAGCTCCAGTGACATCGATAAGGGCTGAGGGCCGTCTCCTATGAATTATTGGACAGCCAGCGATGTTCGTGGAACAGTTTTCCGAGTTTAGACCCCCTGATGGTGGCGAATGTCTAAAGTATAGTCCTTAAGTCCGAGGTTAATATGCACCTGGCTCAAAAAAGCATCCCTGGCTTAGTGGTGACCACGCATTGTGGCCACCGCTTAGCTAATGCAGTGATGCAGTTATATGAATGATTAATCTGGTTGCAAATGACGAAGCCTTTCAATTTCCAAACTATTTTCGAAAACGCCACGCACAGTTCTGCGTGGCGGAAACGCATTCATAGTGCTGATGAAAGCATAACTGGGTTGGAGTTGAAGCTGTATTTGACAAGATGCAGGGCTGTCATTGGAATGTCCTTTTGGACATTAAACTGCGTTAGCTTCTGGCCGCACTCATGCTCACACGGCACTCAGTCAAGTCGGGCGCTTAAAGTCCGTCCTATTGTGCAATTCCTGGAAGCAGACATGCGCTCGCCACTCTACGACAATAGCAGCGTATGTGAGGACTAAGTAGACGGGCCCATTACAAAACAGTGAAAGCCGGCGCTGATCACTGGCCGCAGCGGGTTGAGCGGGCGCAGCAGCGGGCCCGAGGACCGGTCCGGTCGCGGCGCCCGCAGCTTCTGACCGCAGCAGCGGCCCGTCTGCCGCGAACGGCCATCACTCTTCGTTAGCACGGCGGCGTCCCAGCTCACTGCAGCGGGCCGCGGAAAACGCGACGACACACCCCGGCGGGACGTCCCGGACTCGGAGGCTGGGACGTCCCGGGTCACGAGGCAGGGACGTCCCGGACTCGGAGGCTGGGACGTCCCGGGTCACGAGGCAGGGGCGTGCCGGACCAGGAGGCTGGGACGTCCCGAACCATAAGACAGGGACGTCCCAAACCAGGAGGCAGGGGCGCTCTGGATCAAGAGGCAGGGACGTCCCGGACCCGGGACAGTAACGTCCCGGACTAGGAGGCAAGGACATCCCGGATCAGGAGGCAGGGGCGCTCCGGACCCGGGACAGGGACGTCCCGGACCCGAGACAGGGACGCCTCGGACCAGGAGACAGAGACGCCTCGAATCAGGAAGCAGGGGCGTCTCAAATCAGGCGGGTAGAGACGTTCCGAACAAGAAGACAGGAACGTCCCGGACCAGGAGGCAGTGTCGTCCCGAACCAGTAGGCAGGGACGTCCCAATCAAGAGACAGGGACGTCCTGGACACGGAAACAGGGGCATCTCGGACGCTTGATATCGGCGGCGCGGTGAGGTGTCCGGAGGACAGCGGGGCCGACGCCGCCGTCAGGCTGAGTGACGCCGCATCAGGCTGAGTAAGATGTCCGGAGGACAGCGCGGGCCGACGCCGTTTCAGACCGAGTGACGCCGCATCAGGTTCAGTAAGATGTCCGGCGGACAGCGGGGCCGACGCCGCGTCAGGCTGAGTGACGCCGCATCAGGCTGAGTAAGATGTCCGGAGGACAGCGGGGCCGACGCCGCCTCAGGCTGAGTGCCGCTGCGTCAGGCTGAGTGAGATGTCCGGAGGACGGCGGGGCCGACATCGCGTCAGGCTTGAGTGAGCGCGAGAGCCTTCGGCACAAGTCTGAAGCATGCGGACAGTTCAGCGTGGTGTTCAGACTGCAAAGCGATTAGGCTGATCAAAAAGGTTAGATTATTTTTATTTCATCCTGCAGCGAAGTGAAAAATACGATCCCAGAACTTAGTTTGCCAAATATCTGAAACGCTGCACTGATGCGTGCTGGATGGTCCTAGCGATATGGGCTAAAAGGCTGGTCAGATGTCCCATTAATCCATTTGGACAAAGTCAAGGACGCAGCTCTGCAGGAATGTTGCAGCGTAGGGCAAACCAGCATGAGGACGTTTTTTCGGTGAACTCAATCCCTTCAAGTGTCCGCCATTTTTGGGCGACGTGACGTCCGCCATACGCAGCATGGCGGACATCCAGCTTGCTGTCCAACATCATGACATAGGCGACATTCACTTCCAGGCGTAGGCAAGTAAAGCAGACCTGACCTGCCTGACAAAGTGGTAGACGCTAAAAGAAAAATAAGGTGGTCCATGTGATGTAAGTTTTTCACGTGGTTTCTTGCGAGGCAAGCTTTCAACGTGCAGATCAGACACGTGATTTTACAGCGTGGGTGTCGGCTCCTCTACTTGTGTCAGATAGTCCTGGAGGTCTAGCACTGCTTGTCATAATCGAGTAACATGATACATTCAACGTGAATATGGCAAGCATCTGTGGTTTGTGGTGCGGGCTCTGCATTCCCCTCGCATCCCCGTGGAAAATATACCATCATGTTTTCGCATCCGGACTGCACAGGGCCATGGCCACGTGTGTTGAGATAGCCGGTGCAAGTGACGGGAAGCCTCCCATGCGAGAGCGCAGGAAGTCCTACTTTATAAGTGGAGGGCGGTTGGCACCATGTAATTGGTCAGTGATCAGCGGCTTCATGCGTCGCTGGCCGTTGCAGCTGCAGGGTCGCGGTCAGATCCGTGTTCACACGTGTGTGGCATCGTCTCAGGCCTGCAATTAACAACAGGCGTGGCCTTGACAGCGGAATGTGCCCCATGTTCTGATAGGGAGCCAGTAACTACTGCTAGAAACCGATTCCAGCCCGACGGCACAATGAATCTCGATACGCCGGTCCACCTGCCGAGTCGACGGCAGTGCGCATGCGCAACAGTCGCGCCTGGCCGGCCGGTACGCCGGCGTCCGTGCGCCAGTCGGACCGAGAGGGTCCTGCTGGTGCCGCGTGGGGTGGTTGCCGTTCCTCGCGAGGCGCCGGCGGTTCCGGAGCCGTGGTGCCGCTGTGTCGGCGTGAATTCGCTGCTGGAGCTGGAGAGCGGTTCCGGCGCGCTTCGGCCTCGCTGGCAGCCGGGTGCGGTGGGCTGCGGCCGGCCGCCGGCAGCATGAGTGTGGTGCGGCGATGACCGCCGGGAAGGCCGAGGCATCATCAAGGGGACCGCCTGGCCGACGGAAGCCCTCAGGCGTGTGTGAGGGTCACGAGGTCACGAGAACGGGTCGGAGCCGTCGGCGATGCAGGAGCGCAGCGTACATGGCAGCGGCAGCGATGACCTGAGAATGGTGAGCACCGGCGGCGACACGTTGGCTGGACTAACCCTGAACTTCCGAGATGCGTTCGGAGGTTGTCGCTGTTGGCAGTAACCTAACTCGGCCCGAGCGCTTTTGCTTGAGCTTAACTGATCAGAGCGAATGGGGATTCGAACGCACTTTAAAAGAGTGGATATACTACCCTATGGATTCTTTTGAAGTCCAAATGGCGAAACGTTTTGGTAGTTTGGTAGAACCATCAACCGATTCTAGACGTTTTTGCTGTTAAACAATTGACGCCACCCAAAGATTAACTCCGGCCATGGTGTATTACGTTGCAGTGTCAATGTAAAATCAGCAGTTATTCATAACAGTTGTAAGCATTTTTTGGACATAGCATTTCGCCTCTTTTGAATCAGAACTGGTGTGTTAGCAACACCAGTGATTACCGTGCTTTCAGGTTAATACTAATTGGATGTACCCGGCTTAGGCATTTATGTTATAAAACGGTCGGAACCCATACAGATGGTAGAGATCGTTAGAGCATATTAAAGTGAAACATATGTAATATTATGATCAGATGATTTCACCGATGCGTTACACTTAAATCTGAACACCTATGTTTTCTGCTGCCTCCCTCGCAACATTTTCGCTGCGACCTTCCTTGTGACAAACACATAGTGCCAAACACACGCCGACAATCTGCTGTTATCTCTTGAATGCGTACGTCTTGCTATCACTTACGTCGAGCCTATTCGGCACCGAGCCATGCCTGGAGGGCTGGTCAGGTCAGCGGCTGAAGGACTGCATGGTGTGATCACACATGTCATGATCAGGATCACACATGTGAAGTATCACATGGTGTGATCGAGTTACACAGGATAGAGGAAAGGAGACTTACGTGAGGACCACGCCGGCCATCGGCGCTCCAACTGGCGGTGCTGGAGCGCTGACCGGGGGCCGGTGCCGGCACGTTGGTGGTGCCGGGAAATGTTGGCACGAAACAGGCACATGGCACGCCACTGCCTGTGTCGATGCTCGCCAAATATGGCCAGCTCTGGGTCCCGGCCCACGCGTCGATGTCGGCTCCAATGCGGACCACCAGCGCCCTTTTTAAGGAAAATTTGACGCTGCTGACAAGGTCTCGATCGACTCGGCTCGTACAGGAGATCAGAGGTTGGAGCGTCCGATTCTAGGAGCGTTGGGAGTGGCCGCCCGGCACGGTCGCCCTGCTGAACATGGCGAGCATACGCCCAGGCTTCGCACGTAGGCTGACTTTCCTGTACGCGGGACGGAGTACGGCCGTCCGTTTGTTCCTCCTTCGCCTGGCGGTCGAGGTGTGCAGGTAGCCGGCCGGATCGGCCGCTTTCCCACCTTTCGGCCGCGATCGGGATCCGATGGGCTGGAAGGTGGTGTGAGGTAGGGGGGGGGGGGGGCGGGCCCCGGACCCTATCGCCGCATCACCGCTGGCCGACGGCCGGCGCCCTGCCCGACACCATTGTCCCGCTATCGCTGGCTATCGCGCTAATGAGGACGGAGCGGCGCGGCTGGGCCCGCTGGAGCGCAGGGTCAGCGGATGGCGCCGCTCAGCCGCCGCCCGCTCTATCAGGCGCCGCTCGCGCAGGCGTGATGAGCGGCACTCACTCGGCCGCCCTTTCAGACGAGCGGCAGAACTGCCGTGTTGTGACCGGGCGCGACGGGGCAGAGCGATGGGGAATGCCCGGCGCTCTGTGTGCCGCCGGATCACCGGTCGGCCGTCGCGTTTGTGGGGTCGGCTGTCAGGTCGAGCCTTTGTGCGGGGTATTGACTCCGCGGATCTGTGTGGTCCGGAGAACCAGGTCCAATTAGTGCCAGCAGACGCTGGACCAATAGCCGAATAAGGCTGAAGGCCGATAGTGATCTGGTAATACGTACAGCAGGGCTGCAGTGTGCAGACTGGCGGGCTGCATCCATAATCCCCTTACTTCTGGCCTACTGTGCCGCTGCTGCATGCCCAGTGACGAACGCGTCTATCTGATCGGCTCGGAGCATGAGAAAGTTTTGCTGCCATGCACCGAGTGCGACACCTTCATTGCCTGTTGATTGTATCCGAAGGCTAGGCCACGGAGCTATTGTTTGTGCCGCATGCTTTTGACCTGCAACCGAGCGAAAACTTCAATCGCAAAGCCAGATCTATACAAGGGAAGCAAAAATGGGAACCTCAGCAGTGCAGTTCGGCAGGAAGGGACGTCGTGAATGCTAATGTTCGCATCGTATTGCATTTTGTCATGCTATGCACTGCGGTGCGGTTCGCCGTTCTGCCCAGGGAATGGGCCTGAGGTATGCCGACCTCAAGGTCAACACGAACAGGGAAAATCCAACCGAACTGCTGGTTAAAAGTGTTAACCAGTACACCTGGAGCATCTAGCAATGCGTACTATTCGCCTTTCAACAGTGATAGTTGGTTTTACCACGTTGTAAACTGTATGTAACTAATAAAGGAAAGTTATCGCATCGTTCTCGTGAAGTGATTCCCTCGACTGAGCGTCGGGTGCTCCGGCGGGAAGGGACCCGGAGCGGATGCGCTCGTGCCCCGGCCGTCAGCCGCCGCCGCTGTTGGACGCGGCCGCGCGCGGCCTCGGCGGGCGCCGATGCTGGCTGGGCGGCTCTGTTGCGGACAGCGTCGCCGCCGCCGCCGCGCCGCCGCCGCCGCCGCCGCTCTCAACAATTACGGAGCAGCTGGCCGGCCGAGCGACGGCGATTTTCCAGCCATTAGGTGTTGGCAGCTGGCATTGTCTGCCGGCCGGTTCAGCAGCGTCACCGGCCCTGAGCGAGTCCCTCCCCTTCCCTTCCCCTGCCGCGGGGGACGCTGCCAGCCTGCTCCGTGCAGGTGCTGAAGCCGACTTGGGCTCCGGCTTCAGCTTCGATTTGGACTCGGACTGGACTTCTATTTCTTCTTCCACCTCTATTTTGATTTCGCGAAGCCGCGCTTTGCAAGGACTTTGGGTTCAGCGTCAGCTTTTTTCCTTTTCTACAGCTAGGCTTCGTGCCCTGTTGAGCGGTCGGCTTTAATTTTGACTGCGGCTTTGTACGATTTGGAAAGGTTGGCTACGAATCTACATCAAACATTTTTAGCCATAGTTCTTGAGGTTTATGCGATGTTGAATATCAGCTTTGACATTGCTTAGGTGGCTTCTGTTTTCACGGCAGTTGCAACTTTACTTAACTTTGCTTAAAAACGGTCTTGCATCTCGCACCACCTCAAAATACCTTACAGATATTCCTGGTCGCGACGCATGCATAGCTCAAAGCCAAAAACCAACCAGTTTTTCTCAGAACCAGTTGACACCTGACGATAGCCAGAGAACTAGCTGTATGAAACGTTATGCTCCTACTAACACATGAGACAAAGGCGATAGTCCGAGAAATCTTTCATTCGTAATGCTCACACCTTGCCCCGTTCATCCGCAAACTTCAGCACCGTTATTTAAAACGGACGGATTCGGCTTTAGCCCAGCGGTTCCCAGGAACCGCTGACATCGGCTTTTGCTTCGTTTGCACGAAGTGTGAAGTCACTGGGCTTGGATCAGCTATGTCGTTTTAAAGATACCAAGCTGCTAACTTTCGCTTCGTCTTCGAAACCGCCGGGTTCGGCCCCGATTTAAGTGTTATGTTAACGTCTTGGCTTCGGATACGGTTCCGAAGGCAAGTGGCTAGTTTCATCTCTATGCCTGGTGATGACGCAGGGTAGCGAAAGGGAATGCTCCACGTTTGAAGATATTGAAGCCAACATCAAATATGACGAAATAAGCTCACATAACTATTGGTGTACTTTTAACCGGAAAAGATTGTTCTAAACAACACAATTCCACTGTTAAGTAAACACGGTCCTCAACACGTCAGTGTTTGCTTGAATTGTCGTACCTTGCACAACATTGATTCAGAGCTAATCGACGGCCGTTATATTTGTGGATTGTGCTCCCGAATGCCGGATATGAACGAATCGACAATTAAATTTGTCTTGGCCTAGTTGGCCGCATAATTAATTTAATGGCAGGGTATGAATGACGTTATTATGGCGCCATGAATGCGTGGGTGACCTTGAAATAGTTTCCCAAAAAGTTTGCACACCTAAGTGGACGTGTACCTAGGACCTAGTGGAGCTTAGGTCTCAATAGCAGGGCTGTAAACTGCATTAAATGATCTTCAAGATGACTACTTCATTTTAAAACGCCATGCAAATGCGGAATACTCCTTGAAAGGAAAGTAAACAGGCCCCTAAGCAGTATAAAATGGCTAAACCTGCCCTCAAAAGACACAAAAACGGGCTTTTCCGAATACACCCCTTTATTCTCAAAGTTGGGGCGGTCTGAGCCGCCTCCCTCTCCCTGACGTGGATTGGCAGCTCCCGGCCGTCGCTGGCAGCTGGCAGCGGCAGGTGATGTGGGTGGTAAGCGCACCTTCAAGCAGGGGAGCTTCGCCGTGCGGACCTCCCGCGAACTGTCACAGTTTCCGTGGTGACGTACCTTTTACCGCAAACGGCTGGTCATTAAGGTCTGGGGAGACGACAGTTCTGTGATCCTGCGCTTCCCGCTCTAGGCATCGGAGCGTCCGTCCACGGCATATCTGAGGCCCGTTGCCGTGCACTTGGGCGGATCCCAGGTGTCCGTGTTTGGGCAGGCCATGAGGCCAGTGGCCTTCCAAGGCGATGGGAAGCACGTAGGCTTGCACAATTTTTGTTCGAATTTGGTACGGTTAGCACAACATTTGTCCTTTGCCCCACTTCACGAACTTGGATGGACTTTGGTCCCTCCCAGGAAAGTGCATTCATAATTGCTGGACGGTCCATGGTTGTCGAACGTGATCATTCGTCGCGACCTGCATATGAGAACAGCGCCATCAACTTAACAAGAGCGCTCTGGGCTACAGCCCTCTCATGTCATCCCAGCACCAGCGGCCGGCCGGCGATCCGAACTGTAGCTCTCTCATGTCATCCCAGCACCAGCGGCCGGCCGGCGATCCGAACTATAGCTCTCTGCTGTCATCCCAGCAGT